ATTAAAGAAATACGAAATTATCAATAACATCAAGGTTTACTTTATTATACTATAATATTTATAGTTGAATAGGTACTTGGAACAAAGTTGGACACAAAGTATGGTAAATGAGTTATGGCACATGATATGTACAATTATGGAGGATTCTTTCTTTCTCCTTGTTTTACATTGCGCGCAATTTGGTGTAATTAGAAAACGGATATTAGATATTATTGACTCAACAGAGTTTTTTCTTTTAATTTTTCTTTTTTTTCCTTTTCTGTTCTTTTCATCGAAAACCCTGCCCTCTCCGTTTTTTTCTTTTTCTTCCTTTCTTTCTTTCTTTCTTTCCCTTTACACTTTAGTTTTATATTTTGTTCACGATGTTGTCTATTAAATGGTTATAAGGATTAAAATCATGTTTGTTATTTATTTGTTCATCGATGAAATCAGACGAGAAAGCTCGAACGATCGTAAGTTTAGAAAAATATGTCTCCTTGATATGGGACAACACGAACGAGATGTCAAGTTCTCCGTGAAAATGCGTTATATATTTATGTGGATACATTAGACTAAAGCGAATAGAATTTAACTAGTGAATTAATTATTATATAACAATTTACAAATAGATTTACATTTTTTTAATTATTATTTACAGATTATTGAAAGTGCCTACGAATGTAAGACAATGCAAGCTCAATCGAATGAAAACAAATATTAATAAGGATAATGCGAAGTAGGCAACTACCATTTCGACAATTGTTTCGCTAATAATTTTATTGTAACCCTTAGGAGCTTTTCTCTCCAAGTTGCACGCAACATATTTACATATAAATCTCTACAATGTCAGGCAATTAAACTAATATTTTATGATATGTCTTTATTATATTATTATATCGCTCCGCAATTATAGTCTTACTCATAAATGGTGTTTCAATTACTACGCTGTGTCGATAGGAGAAGTTTAACGATAATTTGAAGAAAAAAATCAAAGAGTGATATATATATATATATATATATATATATATATTTATGTACAATACGTAATATAAATCTGCAAGGAGAGATTTTATTTCTTTGTTGATGTAGTATCTAGTTTTAAATTATTCTTTGTAATACTCATTGTCAGAATTATATGTATTTCAACGTCTTTTACATCTTTCTATCATCATATTTCGCACACTATATCGAATAACGAAAGAAACGAACGAACGTAATTGTTTTGTCGCGAAAATGTTACGTAGAGAGAGCACCTATGAGTAAGACTTTAAAGTTTAACAATTCATTTTGGCTTCTTTTAAATTTGTATAAACATTTAAACTAATTACCGATAATAATTATTTATATTAATTAGTAGTTCTCGTAATCTTTTATACAAATTTCATCATCGTACGCTTCAACGTAATACTTTTTCGGTTCTATCTTTTATCTTAGCTCATTAGCAAGCTTCCTAAAATGATTCTCGAATCACCGTTACGAGATCATTTCTCGCAAAATAAAGAAGATACGCATGTGTATGCATTTTTAATCATTTTTTTCTCAGCGTATTGAACAGACGCAACCTCATCAAATCGATTTTCTTAGAAAATTAATTAGTCGTCGCCTATCCGTACATTCTCTACAAATAAACGAACCTTTTCTTTTTTCTCTCTTTCTTTCTTTCTTTCCCAACCGTTTTTACGTAGCTTTCAAAAAATCAATAAATAATAATACAAGAATACATACAATAGAATAGAAAGATTATATTCGGTCGATGTAACTGTATCATGGAATGTGCAAGGTAAATATATATTATCATCTTCGCATGAAATTTGTTCGCGTTTGCTTATCGCTAATCTTGAAATTCGTAGGCTTGTTAAAATATATAGTTTGCTTTTCGTTAAGAAACGGCAGAGACAGACGCTGCTTTTTAAATGGACTTGGCACACAGATTTTTTTGTTTGTTTATATACGCGGAAGGACCGAGACTTTAAGAAGTTTCTCAAAGTTCTTCGCGAACGAACGAAGGAGAAATTTCAAGAATTTCACGAGCCGCGAATAGAATATCTTTCTCCTTATATAAATTCATTTTTAAGATAACCGTAACTCCACGATTTAAAAATCCACACACGTTCCATTCTTCTTATCGTTTCTTTCTTATTTTTATTCTTCTTGCGAAATCATTTTTCCATCACTTTTTTATTTACGGAAATATGCAAAATACGTGAGTATTTGTGTATACGTGATTGTGAGCTCGTTTATACGCGATTTGTTTCTTCTTTTGATTTCTTTCGATCGAAAACCGAAAGCTTTTGGAAATTTCACGTTACTCGCGCCACGTTGTCGAGGCTTTTAGGTGTACCTCAAAATTATGAGATAATGATGATGACAATGATAAATAGTGATGATGATGATGATGATGATGATGATGATGATGATGATGATGATGATGACGATGATAATAATAATAATAGTTATCATTAGAGAAACTTATTGCGATATGACTTGATTACCCTGTGTTTAATATCTACAGAATATCTTTTTCATTTTTTATAGAGTATCACCTTTAAACCGTAAATACGAATATGCGAGCATATATCGGTTTCTATATAAGTTAACCTTCCTTATCGCATTACTACCAACAGATTTTTATTGTACAATTTGTGACAGTTAAATCGGATTTTTTAAGTCTCCGATTTGATATTATTATTATTATTATCATTATCATTTTGAAACACGCCCAAGAAACGTGTCTTTCAACTACGTGGATCAAACGGAACGTGAATCGTATTTTCGTTGAAATCATATTTCGTATGAATCATATTTCTGCTGCTCTTTAAAAACTCGCAAAAGGAAAACGAAATAATAACAATAAGAACATTAATTATTATAGTAATAGACGGTTTCTTTTTCTTACTTTCTGTCTTTCTTTTTTTTCTCTCGATTAGAATGCTATCTTTTCAAACGTTCACCATGAAAACGTGGCGAGCCAACAACAATTTCTTGGTCTTGAATTGGCGAGAAAACGATCGCTTGATGTTCGAAATGGAAAGCAAAGAAATTACCAAACTGGAATTCGATCTGTGCTGTCAAACAAATATCTGCAATACGAATATAAAGAAAAAGTGGGTCGGACAAATTACGAAGTTCTTTAAGCTTGTATGTACGTTCATGAAAAAATAGGCTAACAAATAATCTCGATTTCGATTCGGGCTATCGATCTATCGTCGCGAACGAATGCATAAGAAAATAACTCGTTTTGTCATCGAGAAGTGTATCTATATCTATATAATATCAATTAAATCGAGTCGAAATATCGTCCGTTAAAAGAAAAAAGAAAAAGAAAAAGAGTTAAACGAAAGAAAGTAAAGAGGGAAGATAGACAACAAAAAGGAATAATAATTATGATCATAATAATAATCATAATAATGATAATAATAATAATAATAATAATAATAATAATAATAATAATAATAATAATAATCATAATAATAATAATAATAATAATAATAATAATAATAATAAAAATAATAATAATAATAATAATAAAATAATAATAATAATAATAATAATAATAATAATAATAATAATAATAATAATAATAATAATAATAATAATAATAATAATAATAATAATAATAATAATAATAATAATTAAGAACTTGACTAGATACTATATTGCACTAGAATTTTTCATCGATTACTTAATTGAATGGTAATTAGACTATTACCCCTCTAGAAAATACTTATCCCTTTTACTTATTTACACGTATTTTTAAAAATGACTACCATTTTTCACCCACTCTCTCTCTCTCTCTCTCTCTCTCTCTCTCTCGTTCGTTCTCTCGCTTTCTTTCTCTCTCTCTCTTTTTCTCAATCTATCTCTCTTTTTCTATCTTGTGTCTTCGTTCAGCTATTACACAACGACTCGTATTAAATTCTCGATTTAATACTTATCCTCATGATATTACTTGATGCACGCGATAAATTTTAAGAAATAGTCGAGCTATTCGTTGATGGTAATCTAATCGCTTGCAAGTTTCTTCTCTCTTTCTAAGATCGATACAATATAGTGTCAGCAAGCATAGATTTTTTGTATCGTTTTAATCGTTTCCTTTTCGTTTTCCTTCTTTGTCGATTTTGTTGTCGATAGATGGATAAAGTATTTCATCGAGAATAAAATATTTATATTTATATATACATATATGCATGTATGTATTTATGTATGTACTCATGTATACAAAAGACAAAGTCGCCTCCATGAAATTCGAATCGGCCGATTTCTCAAATATTTTTTTTCTGCAACCGTCCGAAAAGTTTTCAAGATATTTTCGACGAGATTCTGAAAACTTTGTGTATACGTACAAATGCATGCGTGTATGTGTTTATGTATATAAGTATGTACGCATGTATTTTAGAGAATAGGAAATAAATAATAAAGAGAGAGAGAAAGAGAGAGAGAGAGAGAGAGAGAGAGAGAGAAAGAGAGAGAAAGAAAGGGAGAGAAAGAGAGACGATCGTTACCGACATCTTTTTTACGATTCCTGATCAGGTGAAAGGGGAAATAATAAAAATCGATTGGCTATAATCGATCTTCTTACTCGTCAATTTTACCTTCAATCGAACGTGCACGTACGATCGCGGAAAATACGAGGAACGGTTATATGTATGGTTCTTTCTTGGTATCTCTTATTATTTTCTTTTCGTTTAATTCGACGACTAATACTACTGTGTATTGCTTTAATATGATATGATACAGTCTTTTCACTGATTGTCCAACATCACTACGTAAAACATATTCTCCTATTTTTGTTTTCTTCCTTTTTCTCCTTTCGTCTTTCATTCTGACAGATTCTCTCTCATTCATTCTTCCTTTCACACATTCATTTTCTCTCTCTCTCTCTCTCTCTCTCTCTCTCTCTCTCTCTTCTTTCTCTCTTTCTCTCTTTCTCTCTTTCTCTCGCATACACACTCACGCACACATACATTCTCTTTCTCTCTCTCTCTCCCTCTCTCTCCCTCTCTCTCTCTCTCTCTCTCTCTCTCTCTCTCTCTCTCTCTCTCTCTCTAGTTCTCTTTTCGTTCACTTCTTTACAACACTTCACTGAGCGTCATCATTAGGATTAATATCACTTTTTTTTACTTCGCCGCGATATGAATGCGCGACGATTTTATAACAATACATATTTTATATTTTTTATGTTTCGAATTGTACTTTCCGAGACGCATTTATTCCGTTTTCGGACTTTTCTTTCTTGATTTCTCAATTTTCTCGATTTTTTCGATCGATTATTCGAGGGAGGATTCTCTCGCACGTATCTATGTTTTTCATCGTAAAAAACTGAAGTAGTCAGTTCGGAAAGATTCGATTTGTTGATGGGGAAACACATTTTGCTCGAGAGAGGCGTATACGATGACGACGAAAGGGGTAAAACGAGCTCGTAAAACGGTTTATCGTGCGATCGCTTCGTAAAATCGAAGTGTTCGCTGTTCTGGTTGTTATAGAGAACGGAGATTTCTTTGAATCTTATTTACTTTGTCGATTATGAGCAAGATAGTATTGATAAAGAAACGAAAAAAAAAAGAAAAAAAGGAAAAAGAAAAACAAAGACAGAAGAAAATCCCCCCTTTTTAAAAGAGCCAAACAAAATCGTCCTTTCATCGACACATCGAAACAAAGTAGATTCAATGTCACAACGCGTCGAGAGAGACCGTCTAATGCGGCTTTTCGTAGCCACTTTTCGATATCAGCTTGCAACAGTGTCACTGACGACAGCTGGTTTGTTGCACCAGATGGTCACAGTATCAAGCCGTAGAAATCTCGGGCCGTTTTTTCGAGACACATCGGAGAAAAAAAAGAAGAGGAAGAAGAAGAAGAAGAAGAAGAAGGAGATCAGGATAAAGAAAATAGATGACGAAGAAAAACTTTTTTTTGAATCTTCACGGCCAGCCCTGAAATTCGGTCAGGGGTTCGGGTTTCGGCTCGAGACTGGGCAACTGGTAGGGTCAGTTCTGCTGTCACAAGCCACCCTCGGGTCAATGCTGAGCCGCGAACTTCATCCTCTTCTGCTTCTGTCGTTGATTACAAAACCAGACCCTGACGACATTCTTCTTAAGATCGAGCTTCTCCGCGATCGCGGCAATTTTCTCACCGGATGGTCTGGGCTGTACCGCGAAGTATGCTTCGAGCGAGCGTTTTTCCGGCGCGGCGATGCTAGTCCTCTTACGTTTTTTTTCACCGGCTGGTAAAACGGATGGTGCGTCTGGATCACGTCTTTTGTTTTTTGCTTGAGCCTCGGCTTCTTCCAGCCAAGCTTGGAGTATCGGTTTTAGTGCTATCATATTGTTATGTGAGAGAGTGAGCGATTCGAAACGACATATTGTCGATTGAGAAAGTGCACCCACACCTGGTAACTTCAAATTCGCTAAAGCCTTGCCTACATCGGCTTGTGTCACGCCCAATTTGATACGTCTCTGCTTGAAACGTTCTGCGAACGCCTCCAATTCTCGTGGATCTGTATCAGCGTCAGGATGAAGACCCGCTGCTGCTGCCGCTGCTGCTGCTGCCGCCATTGCTGGATGATGATGAGCAGGATGCGGTACGCTTCCACCTCCACCCCCAAGGTTACCGTGATGATGGTGATGTCCCATCATACCGTTCATTCCACCATACACCGAAGGTCCGTGTATACCTGCGTGATGACCCGGACCACCACCAGCTCCTTCAGACATTGGCGTCAAGGTTGTCATGGAATTTGCTGGATCCAACATGTCCAAGCTTTCCATTCCAGGGTGACTCATCTGCAACAGGTAATTTATGTACTTTTAATTCGCGTTCCTTCGTACTCGATACAACCTGGATTCGTTACGGCTCGCGTCGTTATTCTTAATGATCTTTCTCTCTTTTTATTTCGATTTTGTTTTTAGAAAGTTCACCAAGTTTTACGACGGTCGCCGTTTTTATATGATTTTTTATAAGTTTATCCAAACTGCAGGATACGATGTGAAATATAAAATTGCACCGCATTTTCTTCTATTCTCTCAATGATCTGAAAATAGACGTTCGATAATGGAAAGTATCAAGAAGACGATCAATTCAAGTACTTTCCCAATTCGTTTTCATTTTGACCATTCAATGAAATCAGTCGAAGTTAAAAAGATTTGACGAGAAATCGAAAGTAATGTCAAAGACTTATTATGTAAAATTTATGGGAAGAGCAGAAACAACGTTCTACTTGATCTATGACTTTATTTTCTTACGTTTCATCCCAATCATTATTTTTTAATTAAATCGATAGTATGAATCTTATTAAAATTATTTTTTATCTGCAATTCCAAATTAATCGTGTCTTTTAATACAGAACTTAAAATATATTAAATGAGTAAAAATGATTACGTTGTGCCATTCACCTGCCATTAACTATGAATGTTTTCGAAAAAAAAGCTGATATTCGGTAGACTAACTTAATTATGTATTACGATCGGATCTATTCGCAGTGTGATTAATATTATCGGATTATTTAGACTATTTGTGACTATGTCCACGATTGCTTGTATCATCGTTGTGGTTTAAAATTTTCAAGCTATTAGTAAATAATTAAACGACTGTGCTTTTGTATGCATGCTCCGGTTTCAAACGATCATGAAAGTTCGTAATTATCTTAAACGTCTAACCACTTGGAATCTTCATCAACGAGATAAATAAATATATCTGTAGTGAAAGAAAAATCGTAACGAAAGTAAAAGGAAGGTCGCACTAAAATTCGAGCAAACGAATTATCTCAATATCTCGTAATAAAGAAGAAATATCGATATTATCTCGATATGAAACGTCAGTGAAGATTAACTATCCTCACTAAGAGGTCACGATAGCAGAGCAGAAAAAAAATCAGCATAAAATGCCAAAATAACGTTGTCCGGAGACGGCTTTTCAAGGAATCGATTGTCACGAGTCTGCGCGTGTCGATTTATGAGCGTATTATTAGTCGAACGATATCGGACCATTTTGTCTTACAAACTAGAAAATTTTTTATGGAATAAACGATCGAACATTTTGATGAAATATAAGACAGAGAAAAGAGAGAGAAAAAGAGAGAGTGGGAAAGAGAGAGAAAAAGAGAGAGTGGGAAAGAGAGAGAGAGAGAAATTGTTGTGGTAATTCTTATTTTAAACGCGTTTTAAAGAATTTAACGTAATGGACATGTACATTATTTACATTTTTACTACAGTATACATGAAAAAGGAAGAAAGTAAGAAAAACAAATATGTGCATTCGTGTATTTATATGTAAAAGAAAGGAAAGATGGAAAGAAGAAGAAAAAAAAGACAGATACATGAATAACGAGAGAAAGATAGAGAGAAAGAGGTAAGTGTCTTGGAGGGTGAAGAAGAGAAAATGTATACAAGGCAGCGCACACAATTATGCAGCACATGCCACGAGCGTCGTCACAGAGCGCAGCAAGCGCGACCCCTTACAAATTATTTATGAGCTCCCTTCATATTTTTCACCGCTCTGAGTGGCGCTACCCCCGTTGTGAGTAGCACCTCGCATAAAGTCTTCCTTCCTTCCTCTTCCTTTTCTCCTTCTTCTTACTCTGTATCGCTAGGCTTCTTTGAAATTTTGCGCCACTGATTTTCTTTCACGTACATCTCGCGAAATCGAATGATCCTCGATTCCTATTTTTTACTTCCCGAAATATTTCTTATTTGATTATATCTTCAAAAAGAAAAAAATAATATGTTTCTACGATCTCAAGACATTCAGAAATAAAGATCGATCTGTGCCCTTTATTAAAATTCTAAATTTATCTTCGAATCCATTATTATTACTCTAAATTTGATGTTAATAATTTGTTGACAGAGAAAGATTTAATAAAAAATATTGACATAGATTTATTAGAATTATTTGATCAAATATTTTCTCTTCAAAGCCAATGCTACTCCAAATGTTGGGATTGATATTATCCGTTTATGTACATAACTACATGCATATGTATAGATATACATACGCATGTATACGTCGATCGAATCCAAAATGTTTTCAATTGGTAAGTTGAGATAAATTGGGCAAGAATAAGGTCGGTACGGTATTGGTGTGTAAACGGTAGCACTCCGCGGCCTACTTTTACCTCCGAAGGATACGAGCGAAGAATAGAAAATTCAAATATCCTGTTCAGATATGAAAAGGATAAAGTACTTTTAATGGATATTCTTGTCCGGTAAGATAAAACGATGAGCACGACGTGGGGAACAAGTGGGAAACTTCTATAGCCAGCTTGCTCATCATAAAAGTCGACGACTCGCGCGCACAAACGAACGAAAGAATCGACTTTACAAAAAGGTGAACGTGAGACCAGATATAACTCACTTTCTTTCTCTTTCTCTCTCTCTCTCTCTCTCTCTCTCTCTCTCTCTCTCTCTCTCTCTCTCTCTCTCTCTCTCTCTCTCTGTATATATATATATATATTTCCATGTTTCTGGATGTGCTAACGGAAAGATTATTATTACTGAATGAATATTAACAAACATTATTATTATTATTATTATTATTATTATTATTATTATTATTATTATTATTATTATTATTATTTCGTTGAATTAATGACTAAATATCATAAACGTCTAAATGACTAATAATCATAATTTTATTCGAAAACGCTCATGCCTTTTTCTACGCTTTTCTTTTTTCCTTTTAGAAAGGATGAATGAACTTCATATAAGAATCAAATTAATTCTACTCAACTTAATCTTTAAATAAACTTACTTTTTATTTTTTTGGAATTTTTAGAAGAAAAAAGATGTACTAATAACATAAAACTTATAGAAATTATAATTTCTGAATGGAATAAAAATTGGTCAAATAATATTTCAAAAATATAAAACAATGCGATAGATTAATGTAAAAAAATTGAGTATTTTTTATATTGTTAAAAATAAATTATTTATCTTTGCTAATAATTCTTTTATATTATTTAAAATTTTATTGTTTTAAAATGTTCAAAATAAATTATTTTCTTATTTATCGATTACGTCTATAGAAGGATTAATTCATGATTTTATAATTAATGAATGATAGAGACATACGTATCTCAAACGTTTTCTTCTGAAGCTTCTTTTATTTTCACCTTCGAAACATAAATAACGAGTAGTATCGTGACGAGTGCTCGTTCACAAACATCTATTCTCGCGAGAATAGAATAGTACGATAGTCTACGAGCCGATGGTACTGGTTCAGCACGAATTTTCGCGAGATAGTTGTTACCCAGGCTTGCGAGGACTACGATAGGGCCGCCAGAGAGAGTTTGACGGCAAATATAGAGTGGGTAAGGGACCATGGAGCAACATAGTGAGCGTAGGGCCCTAGAGACTCGCTGCAATATTTCATCATTAGACTGACACGATGCTAGGGTTAGTCGTCTCTCTCTCTCTCTCTCTCTCTCTCTTTCTCTCTCTCTTTCTCTCTCTCTCTCTCTTCTCTCTCTCTCTCTCTTTCTCTCTCTCTCTCTCTTTCTCTCTCTCTCTCTCTCTTTCTCTTTCTCTTTTCCTCTTTTGGTCCAGGGTTATACGAAATTCGTTACATACGTCCGTGAACGTAATACGTTACCAGTTACACCACATTGCCGCAGGGATGGCAAGATCGTTGTTATTGAATTCGTCAGCGTCACAAATAAAAACAAAGTTTATGGGAGGCTGGACCATCTGTAGTAATACTAGTGGGGATAAAGAAAAAAAGAGAATACAAATCAAAAAACGGGACAACGCCTGGTTACTTAATGATCAACGTCCTTACAAATAAGGGAGGCGTTGATCTCATCGAACAAATAGATTAAAAATTTTCACATATCACATCTATATCTCTGATCCATTTTTTAATTTCATTTTTCTTATTTATTGTTTTTCATTAATAATGATAAGATTATAATTTCTATCAAATCGATAAGATAGTTGTTTTTATAAAGATTAAAAAAAGTATTTTTAAGAAAAAAACGGAAAGAAAAGAAATACCTTGAGTTAATATTATACAATATAAAGGTTTAAAGAAATAACAGAGAATATAAGAGAGTTTAAGGACAATTGTACGAAAAAAACCAAATAAATATGTCAAAAGCTAATAAAATAATTCTCTTTTTCTCTTTTTTCCTAATAATTCGGGCGAAGTCAACTTCACGAGTATACGTTATCGTAAATCCGTGAATCCGATATATCCGGGAGTTACACGGAATGTATTTTTAACCTTCGCCGTACGAATGCGATTCACGATCCCCAAAGTTTATTGTATCCCGCAGAGAGCATTACAGGTCGTCCCAGAGCCGGGATATTATACAAGGAACGCCCCTACGCGATCATTCCGGTTCGAAGCACATTGGTTAGGACACCCTCTTACCATCCTATTCGTTTTTTCTCTAACTCTCTTTCTATCTATCTCTCTTTTTCTTTTTCTCTTTTATACACTCTCATGGAGCCTCAGATTGAGCTTGAATTAGCATAAACACCGCAAAAAGACGATCAATTGAAAACCAGAAGTTGAATATTAGCGGAGCCACAAATCATACTCTCTCTCTCTCTCTCTTGCTCTCTCTCTCTCTCGCTCTCTCTCTCTCTCTCTCTCTGCCTCTCTGTCTCTCTCCCTGTCTCTGCCTCTCTCTCTCTGTCTCTCTCTCTCTCTCCCTCCCTAGTACGTACGTACCAGCATTTTAACCAGTAAAATTGCTTCTGCATTACAAACGAAGTCGCTGAACGTGGCATTCATGGCAATAATTAAATCGGACGAAAATTAAAATTTTCACTCATTCGTTTGTCTATTATTTAAACTCGCCGATGAACATACTGCTTAAGTTACATTTTTCAACAGTACCGATTAATTATAGACCGCGATAAATGTCCGAGTCGATTAATTATTCTCCGCCATTTTAACTCACTGTCGGAACTCATTTCATTTTATTGTTGCATGTGCTCGAACATTGGGGACCATAGACGATTCGTACGTGCATGTGTATGTATATCTACTACGTGACTTCACATACTGTATAATGCTGGGACCAAGTTCGTCATTAAAGCAATCGTTATATCGATGAACCAAGCCAGTACGAACGTCGATATTAATAAAGTAACATTATGCTCGCGTTTCGTTTACTATACCCATCGAGTAAACTGTACGGAGTTGCCCTTTATGTCTTTGTCACGATACTATCTTCAAACGTTTCGTATACTTTGAATACATCGAGATTGTGAAATTATCATAATTTATTAATGTCTTAAAAAATATAAAAAAACTAAGTCATGTCGAATAGAGCAAATAAATGATACAAAATATTGGAAACGAACATAACAATGTACTTTAAGAAACTAATAATATTTGAGTATTGCATATCTAAAGACATTGTCGAGTCAGCGAATGTTTTAACATATAATAGAGCAAACATTTGTTTACTTCTATCGTTTCTTATATTATTTCTAGATAACTATATAATTATATGTAATGTTTATATATATTTATGTATAATTATATCACAATATAATTATACATAATATTTTAGATATTTTAGATAAACAGTTCAAACTATCAAATTTGTTATTCCCTGTTATATTGATTATAATCAAAATTTATAGCTAATGTATAATATAAAATACAAGATATATCTATTATCTATGTATATGCAACGTGTTAAGTACATTTTAAGACAAAGTAGTATGAATATGCGAATTAACGACTATTGAAAAGCTTCAAGTTCACTTATATTGTAAACAGTAAGGATATAGTTTCAAATAGTATCATATAGTTTTTTACAATATTCAAATAGTATTATATAATATCTATTATAATATTTCATCATAATATCAAATATATATCTATTATAATATTTGATATATATATATATATATATATATATATATATATTAAGTTATTAATAAAATATTAATAAACACATTGTACAAAAATATATTACTTTCTTTTTACTTAAAAAATCAACGAAACTTTTACAAATGAACAGAGAGAAGAAAGGTTCCAGAGCTTGCTAGTCGTATATGTGTATGGATGCGTAGGTATGCCGATCAAAACATGAACAGAGAGATGGAAGTTTTTAGAACTTGCTAATCGCATGTGTGTGTATATGCGTGAGATATGTCGATCGACAAATGAACAGAGGGATGAAAGGTTCCAGAGCTAACTAATCGCATGTATATGTATATGTGTGATATATCGATTGATAAATGAATAAAGAAATGGAAGGTTCTACATTAATTAGTTGTGTATATGTGTGAGGTGCATATAGTTATGAAAAGAAAAGATCTGAAATATTGGGAGAGAGAGAGAACGATAAAAATGGCAAGAGTGAATGTGCGACAGAGACTTGAATCGTGAATCTTGAACAAAATAACGTACCAGCGAAACAGTGATAACGTCCAGCGAATGACGTACCAGCAAAACAAGCGAAAGCAATTAACAAATAACGTAACAGCAAAACAACAAAAGAACCGATGAGTTAGCGAACATCATGTGACATTGTTTCTTTTATACTTTTACATTTATTAAATACATTTTCAATATTTAACCATTAGTCGAGCACAACATTGTTTTTCTCAGCATTGCGTCTGCCTATTAGTAGAGTAAAATTAACGTGTCATCAATTTTCAACAATATATTTCTAATATTTTTCTTTACATATATTATTTGTCAATATACTCTCTTGACTATATCGTCCACCGATCATTCGTTTTTTATAATCAAAAGCAATATGTTGTTTAAAATAAATTCATATTAATTGAAAATAAGAATTTGATCGACTTTTTTGATATCTTAAATTTAATAATTTTTAGAAAATTCCCGGAAAATATTAGGATCTTATCCATAGGGACGAATGTAATATAGCATAAATGCAAACTCACAAAGAGGTGTGATTGTACCTGATGATGCGGCCGGTTATTTGGATGGGGGGTTGGCATGTGAGCACCATGATGGTAGACGGAAACAGGATCGTGTTTCAAAGGCATTGGAGTGCCCGCGTTGTGCTTTCCCAAATCCGCAGCTAAAGCCTCCGCCCTTGAAAGTAAGCCGTCTTGCAGACCGCTGTTCAAGCCCCCGAATAAGTCACCCTGAAACAGAAAGCATGCCGTGCGTGACGATAATTGAAGATGGGATTTCTTACCTACGATTGATCGATGGATAGGATGAAATGCTCTGTAACTAGATTTTGATAAATGGAGCTTGTTAAATTTTTAAAATAAAAACAACGAGAAATTCTAATCTCGACTAAATAAAATTCAAAATGGAACAATTGTTATCTTAGATTTTAAAGATAATAAAAATGTATTACAAGAAATATAAAATCATAAAGATTACCTCGAATTCTGCAATTTGTGCAATATTTTCGGTGTTATTCGATCAATACATCGATTCTAAATTATTTTAAGTAATGGTATTTCTATGATCAGATCGTATGAATGATTGACGTATATAAACGTTGCTACGTGTTACCTGTCAATTTAAGACACATCATACGTATATACATAGGTTTTACCTACAAAATTTCGAATGTCTGATTAAGGAAATATTTTTTTTATTTATCAACTTATTAAGATTATTAGCAAGAGCGATATATTTCCTAAAATCGATTATAGATATATTTCTCAAGTATTTTGAACGTTCATTTCGAAATCATAGACGTTATCTAAAACGTCGACACGCAAATATGAATAAATATTGTATGCATGTAATCCGTATGTATCGTGTAGCTTTTCATCCGCTTTTAAAACTATCCTATCGAACAGCATCCAGACAACAAACTGCTCGAGTATTCTACAGCAGCATGGCCGTACGATCGATATTCCGAAAATAGTTTCTTCTACCAAGACTCAAAATGGTCTACTACGAACTTCTTCAGACTTTCGATTTGGTATAAAAACGTTTCTTTGCATTTTAAAATAACACAAAACTCTTAATCATCTTTAATTATATACATTAAAATTTCTGTCGTATACTATTCGTTAAGATATCAACAAACAAAAATAAAAACGGCCGAAAATCAACGTAAATTAAATAACGATAATTCTGCGCTATTTTTGACTGCGCTTTTAATTATCTTCTTAGTTATAAATAACAATATTAAAAGAATTCAATAGTGAAGCTACGTGTTTCAATAATATGTATAACATTATTGACATACTTTCGATGTCATTAACACGTATCTACTAAATGGTAGCTATCTTATTTACCAAAGGAAACGTATTCTCTCTGTTCGAAATACAAACCGTACAATATTATCATACGTTAAAGCGTAACGATATCAATTTAGTAATCGCATTCGCAATAGCACCTACCCCAGAATATTCGCAAATCGAATTCATTCGTCACAAGTTAACCAGGAGTTGATCTGAAAGATGTACACTTAACCAGACGACCCAAGGGATAGTGGACGGGACAGTCAACGGTGTTAGTTATGAAACTGGACGATAGCAGGGGCTCCCAGTCCCTTCTATGTATTTCCAAGTAGCACGATTCGAACCCTCCCCAAAAAGTCAACTTTCAATGCCAATGAAAATAGCATGAAACGAGAGCTGAGGAAGATTGCACATATAAACACATTCGAATATATTTTCAAAGAGAAATATAAGTATGAAAGGGTGAAACGATATTAATAATTTTAGATAATAATCTGCAATGTATTTTTCGGACATTCGTTTACTTGTTATTCTTTTTTTCGTTTATTTTAAGGATATAAAAAAGATATCGATACCTTTTTAAGTTATCGATTTATGTTCCAACCCAATATAATTGGATTAATACGCAATAGATGTAATCAAACGTAACCAAGATACTGAATATTAACGTATTAATATATTCGAATATATTTTTGCAAATGATTAAATATGATAAATTAATTGTTAAAAATCATAGAAAATTTTCAAATTATTAAATTCTTTGAAGGAACGTTATGTTCCTGATCATACTTAATACATTAATGTTATCGTGCTTATTGATTTATATACTTGCGTCGTCTAAGATCATTAATTTTGATTGTTTCTTACGAAAGGATAAGACGTAAAAGGGATGCACTGAAACAGTATCCGACGTGGCATGATATACGTTCTTTTTCTTCTGAACGTCAAGAGTTTGTTTCATCCATTTCGATAGGGGTTCTCTTAATAACGGTTATACGTTGGATTCATGGTCGCTTTTTACTCAGATACGCTTCTATAACGTGGCAATCGATATTATATGGGACATTTCGCGTCAACTACATCTGTCACTCGTACCTTCGGACTCGCAAGACTGGAACGTTGTTCGGAAAGTATAGTGCATTTCTTTGACCAAGAATATATACCAAATTCGAAGAAAATTTGCTTGTATTAGATATTTTTTCCCTGTCCAATTAATTCTTCATACTTCCGATATTTATTTTATTAAAAAAAAAATTATATAATATAAAATATACAATCCATGGCGAACGTTTAGCAACAATTAATTTTAAGCTAGCAAATGAAATAGAAGTTAACAAATACTGATATACGGGGTTAGTGTATTAACTGGTTAGAACTTATTTACATTTATTAGCTCTTTTATTTATCAACAAAAAACATTGACTCTTTTTATGCAACAAATCTATAACTCCACATTTTGAAAGAAAACCATTCTATTTTAAATGAAAGGTTTCACTTAGTTTTCGAGTACAAAACAATTGTTGAAATTAACGCTTCAGTGAATGTGACTGCTAAAATGTATATTATGCGAATCGTTTGTAAAATGGGAAAAATTCATCGATAAAATACCTACCCTCGCGGACAAAAGCATTTCGTTAATAAAAGAAAACTGTTAACGTGAATGAAGTCGGCCTCTCTTTTATCCAAAGAATTATGAAAAGTTTAACGTTATAAAGCGGTATTGCTGATTATTTTTGTATTTTATTACTGCATTGTTTCAAAACTCGTAGTCACATTATTAAATTTAAATTGGATACCAACTAACGTGCGGAAAACGAGTCTTCAATGTTAACCTCTCGCTCTGTGGAATGTTAATAATTTAACACGCCGATGAAGTCAATTCCCATAACGTTGTTTCTATAGAGTTAAATGAAATTACCAATAGGCAGAGATTATGATATTCTTTTCTCTCTCTCTCTCTCTCTCTCTCTCTCTCTCTCTCTATCTATCTATCTATCTATCTCTCTCTCGAAATTTCTCTCTCTCTCTCTCTCTCTCTCTCTCTCCTTTGAGAACAAAAAAAATTTATTCGCCAAATTCACATAGAACATTTATTAAAAAGTCAAATATTTTGTTCTATATTAAAGTATTAACAATTATAAAACGTAATCTTTTTATAATTATGCAAATACAATAAAAAATATTGATTAATTCTTTTCTAAATTCGCAAAAAAATGCTTACAGATAAATAAACACAATAATAGAAAAGAACGAAACTAGTCACATTCAGAATTTCTCAGGTCGACCTTGAAAATCTTTCAAAAAGAAAACCAATCGTTCAGCGACTCTTAAAAGTATTCATCAAATTACGGGTATTGTAATGAAAACGGCCCACGAAAATTTATACGCCAGAGTTATCAAAATATCATTAGCACGATGTGCTCGGTAGGACGGGGCCAAAGGTGATTCACTGCTCCTATATTCATTACGAGCGGTAACGTCCGCATTGCTCGATCAATGTTTCATGTGAAAACCACCGTCGTACTCCGGCGCTTCGATTATTTATGAACTTCTCGTGTCTTCGTCGAGCACTACTACTACCTTATATGCCCTGTTCGCTGTCTCTAGGTTGCTGAACCACCGCCACTTTTTCTAATCTCGTGGCGGCAGCCCCTTTCACCGTTCCTCCTCCTTTCTCTTTCGATCATCCCTAGATACACTCCGATTCCCTTGCGACGTCGACTCGTACGAACGCGAAAAAAGCGATTATCTGGACGACTCTTACGAATGGAAAGCTTTACACCTGAACGAGTTTATTCGTCGAACATATAAATCAGCGTTATACTTACTAATATATATATATATATATATATATATATATATATATATATATAAATTATTCAATAAAAATTGATCATTTAATAATATCATATCACAGACTATTAGAATTATCGCGAGCTAAAGACAAGATTGTAATTTAAATTTTATTGACCCAAATAAAGTCGAAAGATTAGAATCGATTAAAGAGAACTCTAGTAATTATTTCTATAGAAATTAGAAGAAGATCAAAGGCTCCTCGTTTCTTCAGCAATCTATTTACTTAATTCCACTTAACATTATTCAGAAGCGAGCGATAAATGCTAGCCATTTGCGAGAGAAACGTTGTTACAAAGAAAACAAATGCCTCGCCCTTGAAAAGTGTTAACAGGGCGATAAATCATGAAGGAGCTTTTGTTTCGAAAAACCTCGAGTTTTTCTTCTTTTCCATCTTCTTCTTCTTCTTCTTCTTCAAATGTAAGGCTTGTTTAGGGTCGGTCAAAGCACCTGAGATGATCATACGTTCTCTCGAATTTCAGGAACGATCCTTCCTATCCTGTAAGAAATGCCAAGGACAGAACGAGAACGATAGATGAAGGAAGAGAGAGAGAAAAAGGGAAGGAGGGAGAGATAGAGAGAGGGCAAAGATACAGATTGCTCTTGTTAGAGCACGTGGTTAACAGCTCGTAGAGCTGTTTAGCAAACTTTCTCTTCTTCCCTTCTCCATGTTTCGCTTCTCCACGTCGCCGCGGTTAATAGAGTCATTTTTCTGAGCTGCCTGTAGAGGCAGGACCCCACGCAACAGCTAAATACGTCTTCCGAGTGGAGCCACCGTTAAGGATTAGCCAATTACAATTGAATTACCGCACCCTGTCGGAAGATAGAACGGGAGTTAATTTATCGATGCCCTCTTCTTGCTGATGCGCCCACGAAGGCGATTAAATCAACGATATACAATTTATTAAATAGATAATCGTAACAATTTCGATCAAATTTTTCAATCAGAAATTTCAATATTTTATCTAGTAAATGTTTATAACCATCGATGCAAGGAAAACTAATTTGTTATACCATGGAATGTTTTTAATAAAACTTAGATCAGTTAGATAGCTATTTTAATTAGGATAGATCCATCTCCTTGGAAAATTTATCGTAATTCGATATATATAATTGATGTTGGTTATTAAAATCTGTTTACGTCTGTCGATTATCGTTTCGTGGAATTATTCGGTTGCCGATCGAATAATCATCAAAGTTGCATTAAAAGCTTGCGCTACGTTGTTATGCATGGAATGAAGAGAAAGAGAGAGAGAGAGAGAGAGAGAGAACGAGAGAGAGAAAGAGAGAGAGAGAGGGAGAGAGAGAGAGGGAGGGAGAGAGAGAGAGAGAGGAAGAGAGATAGTTTCCCTATTTATCTTGTTTTTTTGTGTTTAATCGTTTTTCATTTCCAATAAGAGAAAAAGATGGGCATCGGCGTATATCACACGTAGCAGTTGAGTATCCGAGTGAATTTACGTCATTAATTACCGATCCAATCGTGGTTACACCGATCTGAATACAGAGCATACTCGGGACCGACGAGTATCGGATATCGCAAATTGGGACGATTACGTTATTTCCGTCCGATAACCTACATCGCGGAGTAGTCTGAGCCATGAATAAATGAATTCTTCCAGAAAATCTGACGTCTGACACGAAAACAAGCAGACTGTTCAAATTATCACTTGCATGGCGGAGTACCTACTGTCTAGAAAGGAATATTATACCGCTCTTCGTTATAGCGCAATTAAAATTTGCTTAACTTCTCCTCCCCCGTCTCCTCTTTTTCCTCCTTCTCCTCTTCCTGGGTAAGAATCGGATTCAATTAATACAAAATTTGGATTTACATCGAACTTAGTATCGAATAATAAAAGCATTTTCTCTCTCTCTCTCTCTCTCTCTCTCTCTCTCTCTCTCTCTCTTTCTCTGTGCTTCTTCGTTTCTCTTCGATCGATATCATCGCAAAAAGAAATGAGAATTCATATATAACTGCGACGTTTTCTGAAAAAAAAGTAATCAAACGATTTCCGATCAAACGTCGCAGATGTTCTGCTATAAACAGAAAGTAATTCTTTAGACGGAAAGAAAAGAAGGTACAGTTTGTTAGGGTAACACGAGTTTTTATATACTCAAGAAAAGAAAAAAGAAATGTGAATTAAGAAAAATTGTTCAACGGAATGGATTGCTCACAGCTGCAGGTGTCTACTGCATCAGTGGAAAGCATAATTGACACTTGGGTTCTTTTTATGACACTCAAACTATCCTCGTACTAGCTCATCGTATATCTAAATAATCATTTTACTTTCGGCCATAATCATAACCACGAGTTAGCGAATTTATGCGAACCCAACCACCGTAATTACGTAGCTCTGTTAAGATATAAATATCATCGGATATTTTCTACACAACGAATTCTCTTTCTTATGTTCATTTTTTGTTTAAACTTTTGTTTCTTATCTCATAATTGATCCAAAATTGATCAAGAACTTTCTCAAGAAAATCTTACAAATTTTTTTTCCAATGCATCTAAATCTTTTTGTTTCGTAATGATAGTAATGATAATAATGATAGTCGATAAGAATTTTCTGAGATCTTACAATAATAACCTACCTCGATGTAGGTTATCTTATATATAACGAAAAAAGGTACCGTAAAAGAAATAATCAAAGTCAGCCTCGTTAAATTATCTTCCATCAAATATTTTGTTTCTTACCTCACAATCCAATCAAACTTTACATTTATCTATAGTAAGTACAAGAAGTATTCTTTTATTATCTGAATAATGAGTATAAGTATTCTTTTTTTCATCATAATCTTCCATAAATGTATATTTCCTTATTTTATCGAAGATTTTTTTATAAAAAAAGATCTCACGAATATTGCGAACTAACATCAACAATAAAATAATTTTTAGGGAACATTTTAATCACCTTCTATGAATACTTTACACGCATAAATTTTGACAGATATATTGAATTATTTATATTTCCCTATAAACTAATATTTATTATAAACCTGTTGTTGTTGTTCTTATTGTTGTGTATATAATAGGTAAGAATTACAATGATTGAAAAAGAGAGAAGGGAATTACTTTATAAAAAAAATTATACAATCCAACTGTTATATATGAAAAATTATAACGAGTGAATGAAAGCTTTTTACGGACGCTGTCCTTTTAAAAAAAAGTTTTATATATTATATAAAAATTTTTTTAATTTTATTTCAAGAAAATCATTTTTTCTATCTGTTTATATATAACGAAATTGTCATACAACGGTCTTTATTTAATGTTAATCAGACATATTGCGAAATAATTCGGGACGATATCAAGCAACTCATTCACAGATTCGAAACTAATCAAATAGTAGTATTAAAATTAAATCGACGAAGAAAAGTAACAAGCTAAGAATTTGACTAATTTCTTTCTCCAATATCTATTTATTTTCTCTTCGCACATTCGCATTTATCTTATAGGTATATACATCTCTTAACACAGATTAGTAAGATACTCACGTTATGCCTCGGTGACCAAGAATTGCACATTATGGATGCATCTTCCAATATACGACTCTGCAATATCAAAAATTTCTTTTTTAAAGAACGTGACATATAACATGGGCAAAGACATAGAGGAATGCCGTACATTATTGATTTCTTTCGAATAAAATTCAAGAAGACATGTAAAAAGAAAAAGAAAAAAAACGCATAATCTTTTAAACGAAATTGATATATGATTAACGATAATTCAAACGAAAAATAGATTCGTTCGACGCTTCAATAGAATCTAGACACTGAAATTGGAGTAAAAAATACGCTAGTCATATAACGAATTGTCTACTCTTTACGACCCCATTACTAAATCCAAAGCTTTCCCCGACATCCTTTCTTCTCGAATATAGATCGACGCGACGGCGAAGGATGGAGGAAAAATATAAAAAAGAGAAAAAGAAAAGAGAAAATCCTATCGTTCGATAAAAATTACGAGTGCCAAATCATAAGTTGTTAGAAAAAAATATAGCTCGAGATAAACATCTCCTACATTTATCTCTGAGATCACTTCGAACGACAAAATTGCGTATCTATCCGTCAATTTATCGAATTTGATGAATGATAGATAACGATAGACGAAAATATGGATTGTAAAAAGCGAAAGGAAGAAAAAAGAGAGAGAAAGAGAGAGAAAGGGGGAAAAAAGAAATTTTCAGAGAACGATAGTTTCAGTCATTATTATCCTTAATTACATTTAATATGAGTTTAATGACCGACGCAGACGAAATATTTTCGATCGCAACGATTTTCGAAGAAGTGAACGCGGAGAATTTATCTGTCAACGCGACTTAATATTCATCCAATCTGCATATTTCATTTCCACCGATCGCATAATATGTATATTTAAAGCGAACAGTTAAGATTGACAGAACCGGGGCACAACGGCGTCGCGACGCCGTCGCAAATTAAATGAGTCATTTCGGGATACGCGCACAGAACTAGGTAATTCAATATCGTCCTTATTAAAAAAGCGTCGGGTAATTCTCCATTCCCTATCGTCTCGCTCTCCTCTTTCTCTACCACTCTTCCCTTCCTTTCTACTGTTTCCCTCTTACTCGTCATTTCACTTGCTGGACTGATGACGATGATCGCGTTATTACAATGAAGCACATCACTCTACTAGATCAACGCAGCCAATCAACGTGTCACGAACCTTCTAGACCCACTAACTTCTGAATTTTTTTGTTTTTCTCTCTCTCTCTCTCTCTCTCTCTCTCTCTCTGTCTTTTTTTTTGTCGACTACAGTCCCCTTTTATTCGGCAATATTATTTGTTCTGCATGTATTATTTTTATTGTTATTGTTGTTATTGTTGTTGTTATTATTATTATTATTATTACCTATTTACATTTTCTCTGATACCTTTATGTACGAAAGGTAACTACGAAAAGGTCTTTTCAAGCATTTATGGGTCTCATTTTGTGAGACGTTATACATAAATTGTGTAATCGGAAGTGTATTTTACTTAAAGTAGATATAGAATAAGTAATTAAGCTATTGTGGTGATTATTATTATTATTTGATATTTTTCTTTTGTCATTCATTTTCTTCTGAAATAAATATTATCATCATTTATTATTATTATTATTATTATTATTATTATTATTATTATTATTATTATTATTATTATTATTATTATTATTATTATTATTATTATTATTATTATTATTATTATTATTATTATTATTATTATTGTTATTATTATTATTATTATTATTATTATTACTATTATTATCATTATTATTATTATTATTATTATTATTATTATTATTATTATTATTATTATTATTATTATTATTATTATTATTGTTATTAGTGCGATCAAGGAAAAAAAATATAATCTTGAATAAAAGAAACATGTAATGAAATATATTATTTATTTTGTTATCGTTTTTTATTCTATGTATTTGTGTTGTCGTTTAAAGAAGTCGTTTATCTCAACTCGTTCATTCTTATTAATTTTTAAGTAGACATCGTCACGATTAAGAATGTGTCACAAACCGATCTCAATTTTTATCTATGTTTTTAATACAACATATCGTTAATTTAATTTAAATAGTGGCAATCAATGTCTTATTATAAATTTCCGAATATCGAATTCGCCTTACTACAATTTTTAAACAGAACTTTATTTCAATTCGGCTATTCGAGTAGAGTTTTATATTTATTTAATTGGCGTAATTAATAAAATCACGTACTGGAATAAGAAACTGTTTACTTTTTTCAGATATGATATTATAATAATATTTTATTTAATTCGGCTATTCGAATAGAATTTTATATTCATTTAATTGGCATAATTAATAATATCATGTACTGGAATAAACTGTTAATTTTGTCATGAACTGTTAATTTTTATCAAATATAATATTATAATAATATTTTATTATTGCTGATCACACATAAGATATTTGCATCGCACTGTCAACGTATCTTGGAATAATTTTCAATGGGAAACAGACCGACAGAATTGTCATTTCGCGTGACGTTTCCAAGGATGTCCCTTGAAAGCAGGATAGAAACTGACAGGAGAAGTAGGATAAGGTGATTGTCAGGAACGCGCCTTGTTTCAGGCTCTACGAATTTTCCATCTCACAGTGGTTTTACCCTTTATCTTTACCGATCTAATATAGGGTTCGCTATGATCTATGAAAAACATCGTTTTAAAAAAAAAGAAAAGATATAATAATTCTTTTCATTCATGATTTAATTTTTTTGATTTGTAAAAAAAGAATATTATATCAATTATAATAAATATTAATGTAAAAGTAATGGAAACACAAATTGCTTATTTGTGTAATAATATAAAAATTATATTATTACACAAATTGTTATACATATATTATAAATATACATGAAACTACCTTTAAACATTGATATGTTGTATTATGTAAGTACATGTATTTTTAAGGATTAAGAAGAAAAGAAATCTCAACGAGGAAAAGAAATCAATTCATAAACCATTTCGATCATATACATTGCAGACTTTTTATGATCTAGCAGATAAAACTTGGCAACGGTACTATCTAACGTCATGATAATACTCTACAAATATTCGAAGAGGTCGTACAAACGTTTCTCCATCTTCTACGAACGAACGAAACACGCACACGAAAATATCTATAGCTTCACCTAAACACACGTATGAATCTACATACATCTACACGTTTCTATGTACGAATGGATAGATCATAGATCGCTCGTGTGTACGTATGTACTTTGCTACTTGCTGTACACATTGACGGTAAATACAAAGATCTATCGAATCGTCGATGTATGTATGTGTATCCATTCACACACGAATATATATATATATATATATATATATATATATTCATTATATATATTATGTATATATATATATTATGTATATACACATACACACACACAACATAATATGTGTGTGCATGTGTGTGTGCGTATGTAGAGAGAGAGAGCTGTCCGTCAGTCATTACGAGTACATCTATTTGCTACATATACATGCATACATGGGCACATGCACATACGCTAGAAGGCACAGGACAGAACATTTGCGAGCGAGCAAACAGCCACGACCGGATCAGTTAGCTCGGCTAATTGATTTTCCTTCGCAATACGAGTTGGTAGTAGTGACACACGGTATTGCGACGCACGCTACAATATTGGGAGACAGTGCCGCGCACAACGGTCAAATCCAATCGGAAACTTCCGTTTGATTATCAGAGAACATGCATGGCCGATTGTAAATCAACCACAATCGTATTTGGGAATGATTCCCGATCCTTTCCGCATGTGACGAAACTCACTCTCTCTCTTTCTCTCTCCCTCTCTCTCTCTCTCTCTCTCTCTCTCTCTATTTGATTAATTTTCTTTATCTCTAGCTTCAAACTTGACAAGAATTTCTTTCAAATTTCTCATAAAAAATTAAATGTTATGTTATCAAATTCATTGTCTTTTTTGATTAGTAAAGATTTATTATAGATTAAAGCCAATGAGAAATTCATTGAAATTATGCTTTAGAATATATTTACAAGATAATATATTCGTATTGTATTTTCAACTCATACAATTTTCAGAGAAATCATGGTATTTACAATGTATCCGACACATCCGAAATTCGAAGAGATCGTCGTGTATATTCCGATTGTGAGAGAGGAGATCGATCAGTAAATTCGGCCATTCCCTTGTTTAACCATGGCAGAATGCTGCGCTGGTGCAGCCACAACAAAAGGTACTTCTAGTCGATAAATCCAATCCGAAACTCACGATTGATTGCCAGGAAATACATCGGTAGAGTTCTATATTATACGTGCCGTTAGGAATACGAGTACATTCCCGAATTTCATCGCTTTTATGTACATACGCAGATATGTATATACGTATATATCGAATATATGTATATATGCCAACGATTTATATTTATGTCTATATTTCACAAGTTAAGATTATAATTAAATTAAGAATATAATTAAGTTAAGGTTCATATAATTAATGAAATGATTAATAAAAATAGATAACTATTTCTGTTGCAGTATCAGATATATTTTTCTATTTATATTATTCTAAATCTTCAAATAAGGTTATAGAAAAGAGTAATATCGATTAATAAATAAAGGAGTATATAAATTGTCATTGAGTTCGTAAAAATGATTTCGTTCAAAGTTCGAATTACATGGACGACATCTTAGGATAAATCGAGTTTAAAATGGAATAAAATAAAATATTGCAAAAAACACTCGAGGACCGAGGGTCTTCGATCGGTCAGAGGTTCCTGAGAAAGTTCCCTTCGTCGGAACTTCAGTTGATAATTATCTAAATTTACCGGGGACCCGGAGTCAAAGTGTGAAGTCGTGTTCGAAATCTTTCTGCACTTCGGGGCTCTCATCCGCCGGTTAATAACAAATGAGGTTACGTCTCTCCTCACTTTTGTTATAATCGGACACACTTGCCCTCTCCCGGTTACTGTCAACCATTCTATATTATTCAACAGACTTGTTTGAGCCATTCTAAACACATCTCAAGCTTACTTTCACTTTATCCTTCT